CAGTTTGGTATGTGCTCTGACCCATTTACTGTCAAAATAGTCCAAATTCCAGAGTGCTAGTTTTACCAGGAAAGTTTTGACAGTGTACCAGTTGTTGTCTTGTCTATTAGCTGGAGCGTGCTAATCGGCTTTGCCTGGTTAGTCGGTTAGTCAAGGTCATGCATGTTTGGAAGCGAGTTACAGAACGATAATCCGCTATTAAAAACAGCAACAGCAACCAGAATGTTCTGCCTTGCAGAGATAATTGATGACAATAGAGCACACGATTTGAGATATTTACATGGTTTTTTTTGAGAAAATGAGATATTTTGTACTTTTCTTTGTTTTCCTTGCTGTATCAAAAATGCAAACAATGTAATCTATATTGGTGACAGACAAAATAACTTGAAATACATCATTAGTAAATTCCTGTAATCATGGGTTATAGTGACAGATCTCCTTTTGCCGGACCTGTGATTGATCCAGGCCAGCGGGGCAATCCTGGTCTCATCCAGCCTGTTGTGTCTCAGAGAAACCACGTTCAGACTCTGGGTCTGATTGAAAACTGTCTCTGAGATTTCCTCAATCAGGTTGTTCTCCAAGTACAGCTCCTGAACGACAGAGCAGAAAAAAATAAACCAAATGTTTGACAATGGAAACTCGCCTCTCATTACTGGAATTTAGTGTCAGAGTCATGGTAGGATTCCATCGTGTTGTGTTAATGAAAGCAACAGTAGGAGTGTTACGAGTTTGTCATTAAACACTTTTGCTAACTGAGTGATTTTGGTTCAGAAATCTTGGCAGACAAGTATGTGGTTTGTTGTGACTGTTATAAATGCATAATCCACCCCAAAAATACATTTCTGTTTGTCTTACCTATCTTTGTTAAAACTGGCAACCTAATCAACAGGTAGGACACATATTGGGTATCCTCTTAGTTACTCTACATCATCCTTAAATCATGATCATAATCACTTTGGACTATACAAAGGTGAAAGTGCCTGATAAAGTCCTGAAAAACCCAGAGCTAATTAGCAAATAACAAATATTAAAGGTAGATCACGATCTTCAGGCCTTATGACAAGAAAATATGGTGTTTTTGATTTGCAGCGAGCATGTAGAAACTCTCTGAGATCATAACATGAAGTTGGTTTTTAAGGTGGATTTACAGCAGCAGCATGTCGCTGGTGGTTCTACAGTGTTTGCGGTTAACCAGAGACCGTAATTATAAGTTGGGTGGACTGGTTTCCCACAGGTAGAAGCAGAGTTTACTTAGTGGAGGAGTCTTAAACATCAGAGCCAAAAAGAAAATACTGATGCATCAGCAATCCTAGATTCCTGACTGACTGCAGCCAGCTGCTCAGAAGGCCTCTGATCATGTGACTGAATGCCTGTTAGGTTTTATTCAAAATAATATGTTGCTGGTGAGTTTATTGAGAAATTTATTGAGCGTTTCCTTGAGTATTTGTACCTATTTCTGCCAACGGTTGTCCAAAAAGTAAATTTATCTCTGTTCAAAGCCTCCAGATTCCTACAGTTTCACTTTTATTGGCAGCCCTCAGTCACAAGTGTAATATAATGAATTCAGTCTTTATCCACCAACCAGGAAACAAACTTGTCAAAGCAGCAATAAGATTATTGAATCCAGTAGAGAGCACTGTGTCCTGGACTTTTATGAAAAAAGGTCTGGCTATGTTAAGAATCCTAATGTGGGGAATGAAGAGTTAGGACCTGGAGAGATGTAGTAGTATTACTTCATACCAGCAGAGACTTGGGAAGGCCCTGTGGTACAGTGCGGAAGTGGTTTCTGCCCAGTCGGAGATAGGAGAGCTGGATGAGGGGAGCGAATGCCAGAGGATCTATATTCCCCTCACTCAGCAGATTTCCCTCCAACTCCAGAATCACCAGGCTTCTCATACCTTAAAGATAAAGAAATACATTAACCTCACTGTCTCAACTGGAAATGTGTTTCATAATCAGTGCAGCAAATAAACATCGGTCAGACTATAAACAGTCAAACAGTTCATCTGTAAAACAGAACAGTCCGTTCAGATTTCATACCATTTATATTTGTACTAACTTCTGTAACATTACTGTAAAGCAGAGGTTTAAAAGTAGTGCACAACACAGATTAGAGCTGAAAAGTTAAGATCCTCTACACATGATCAGTGGTGTGATTTTTACTTAACAGCAGCTTAAAGATCTCATCACAGGCTCCAACTTCAACCAAGCAGCAAGTAGCACTGCTGTGACTTTCTCTCCAGAAAAAAACAACAGCTCACAATAGTACAAAGCAATTCTGCTGCTGATCACGTGTTCAGGTCCTTTTATTGTAAAATTGTAGTGCAATTTTCAAATCTCAAGCATTATTATAATTTGGCCTATTTTAGCAATATTTTAGCATAATCATCATTTGGTAAACAATGGTTATGCTGGAGGAATTGTCACTGCAGCTAATGACAGGCAGATCTCTTGAATTGTGTGGTTAAGGTCTCTGGATGCTTGTGTCTGTACTTTCATAGTTCAGAAAGACCAACAGAGTGAGTCTATAAACAATCTATGTGGTTGCATTGTGTAATTTCTAGACATGTAGTTGGCAGCTTGGTGGGTTGTTACTGAGTGTAAATGACATTAAGACAGTACAGAGGTGCATTATGGGATACTGTGGCGGTACCTTCGAAGCTGTTTTCGTGGATTTCTCTCAGTCTGTTCTCACTGATCTTCAGCTCCTGCAGGGTGGGGGGAAGGTCCGAGGGGATGGTTTCTAGAAGGTTCCCATCCAAGTAAAGACGCCTTAGCATCTTCAGACCCTGTCATACACACACAGGTACTGGTGATACTGGGAAGTAATTGATGGTGATGGTGGGCGAAGTTGACTGCCCCCTTTACTGTACTATAAATGTTAATTTATTCTTCTGCTTGTGTAAATTCACTTTTCAAGTCACATTGAAATCTTAAAGGTGTTTAAAAACACTTCCTTCAGTTTTACTCTTTTTGGTCTGTACAACATCTATACTATCTATCTTTGAGAACATTTGCACCATTATATCACAGAAATTCTCACATATTTCTTTTCTTTCTGGTTGATTGCATTACTTTAGATGTTCAGTACAAAGAAAGAAACACTAGAATCAAGTGACGGACAGTTGGAGAAAAAAAAAAGTTGATGTCTTACTTTGAAGGCTTTAGCATCAATACCGGCAGAGGTGAATTTGTTTTTCTTCAGGTTGATCCATTCGAGGTTGGGGATGCCATTGAAGGCTTCTGCTGGGATGCTGCTGATGTTGTTGCCTGCAGTCATAAGACCTTCAGTCAGTTAACACTGAAACACTGAGAGTGTGTTTCTGTTTTCATATGTGTTTTTAAATCGGTGACTATTTGTTTGTCTTTTATTTATTTGCATCGTTTGCTCCCTAAATGCCGTGTATAGGATTTGGTTCCAATTACTTTTTTCATTTTAGTCTAGGATGAGAAAATACCCGAATTGTCTTCAGTTTGGTGTGGGATGGCTAATCTGCAGGTGCACTGGACTGTAGAGTAACTGGGCAGAGGCTGTCAGTAATATATCAAGGTGTATTGGAGTTGAACATCACTGATAATGTCGCACAGATAAGAAAATGCAGGAACTACAAATACATGACGGTAAAATACAGAAGTTAAGTGTAACGTCTTCAGTGGAAACCAACGGGATTGCAACAGACAGCGTAAATTGGCAAGAATTGATGGACGGACACATTGTTGGTTTTGGTCTTTTCATGGGATTTGTTGATCCTTTAAGCAACTTAATAGTTCTCAATCACGACCTCCAGTATTTGAAACAAGTAGCCAAAGTAAAATAAGGTGTGCAGAAGGTGTGTGAATCTTTGTGTTCTTGTTATTTTCAACCGTTGTTATAAATTTTGAAAGTTGTAATTGGTAATGGGTTATAAACTGGATTGAGATTAACTAGAATTGTAACCCTCACACTAGTGACCTACAGTATTAAAGTGTTAAAGGTTCTTCATCAGGTTGCAGTGTGGACTTCTCTCTGGCTCTCCGTGAGTTGTTGACTTACCCTCCAGACTGAGAGATTTGAGCTCAGGTATGGACAGAGGAGGAAAGTAGGTGAGTTTGGCGTTTTCACACGTCACAGTGACGTCAGAGATGTCGCAGCCCGGAGGAAGGCGTCCTCTGTTCACTACCGCCTCTTCCCCTTCCTCCTCCACATCCTCTCCTTCCATCTCCTTCAGCTCGTCCTCCGTCGCAGCAGGAGGTCTTGGGATCGGAGCAGGGAGGAGGTCTGGTTCCTCAGGTTCTTCAGGTTCTTTTGGGGGCATCTCAAACACATCTCCTCTCAGCCACACTTCCTCCTCCTCCTCCTGCCGCTCCTCTACCTCCTCCAGTCGCTCCTCCTCCTCCTCCTCTATCAGAGCCAGTAGTTCTTTCCTCAAAATCTCCTCCTGCTTCCTCCTTTCCTCTTCTAGCTTCCTTTCCATCTCCCTTGCTTCTCTTTCTGCTTCCTCCTTCCGTCTTCTGTCTTCCTCCTCTTGCTGTCTCCTCCTCTCCGCCTCCTCTATCTGCCTCTTCCACTCCTCCTCCTCTTTCTCCACCTGCAGCCTCAGCGCCTCCTCCTCCTCCCTCCTCCTCTTCTCCACTATTTTCCTTTGTTTCTCTGCCTGCTCCTTCCTCTGCCTCCTCCTCTTTTTCCTCGCTTCATCCTTCTTCTTCAGGCGCTCCTCCTCCTCACGGTGCTCCTCCTCCTCCCGCCAGAGGATTCGCTGGATCTCCTCCTTGGTCAATGGGGTCGCGGACTCATCAGGGTCGTTGGGAACTGGGGAGTCACCAGAAAGGTCAAAGCTGGAGTCAGGTTCTAGGGTGGGTGTAGGGTGGTGCGGGGGCAGCCAATCAGACGGCAGGAGGCGGTAGGGGGCCGGAGGTGGTCGAGATTAAAGAATAATGTGACAGTATAGAAAGAAGGAAAAGAAATAGAAAGAGAGTGGAGAAGACAGGAGAGGAGGAAAGGGAGGAAAAAATAGAAAAGAAAACTAGAAGAGAATGATACAGGATGGAGGTGGAAGTTGGTGAGGACGGACAGACAGGAGATGGACAGACAGAGACGGCTGTGTGTTAGTGTTGTAGACAGACAGACAGACCAGCTTGTTGTAGCTACAGAGCAGACAGCTACTGTAGACCAGTCTGGACCAGATCCCACTGAACTGTGCTTGTATGACCACAGTCACATAAAGTTGGTCTCTTTGTGTTTGTCCCTGTTGGTGCCAGCTGGTACCGAATTTAAATTTAGACCAACCCTACTTGACTAACACTTAATGCTGTTTTATAGTCATAAAACTATGTCCCAACAGCTACATCCACCAAATACTACATCAAACAGACTGACAGTGTCGAGACTTTGTTAGGTCATAGGCAGACGTCATTCATTGGTCATTAATCTTCATTACTCTACTGATAATTGTTAATCCTGCCTTCAAAACAGGCCAATGAGCACAAGATGAGACCTATTTGATAACATGATGACTATAAAACAGCTTATAGTGTTTGTGTTTATCTCCATACATACAGCAGACATATACACAATGTAATTATACAGATAAATACATGTTTCTATTGTTACTGCTATCAGGTTAAGGATGTATTCATCTGCATACAGTGATATCTACATACAAGTCATAGACAAAATAAGTTTGAGAGGTTTTCTCCTGCTTCACCTCCATACATGCACATAGTGACTGTGTAATGTATGACTGTGAGCAATGAGTTACTTACTGTCAATTCAACTACTGCAGTTTTTTTCCCATGATTTCAGACTGTATAGACCGGTTTCTAAGAGTATCACATGTATGTGAAACAGGTGGTGAGATAAAATTCCTGCTATTTGCCATCAAATAATCCCAGATGCTAAAAACTCATAAAATTAGATGACTGCAGTTTGTAGAAACTCTGCACACCTGTTCTAAGAAGACATAATGCATTTTCAGGCTCCACAAGATGTTCCCAGACATCTCCCCTCAGTGTGATAAATGTAATACAATGGAGGCAAACCCTTCTCCATAGCTTTGCTCTCTGTTCCAAAATAGAAAGATATTGGACAAACATATTTAAAACGCTCTCTGATACACTCGACACCCACATTGAACCTGATCCTGTCTTAATTGGGCTAGGAATTTCAAATGCGACATCTAGAGTAACAAAAGCACAGCAGCAACTTCTCTCTTATGGTCTTATTACAGCAAAACTAAACTAAAACAAACAAAAAAAAAACTAATCCTGACAATCTGGAAGAAGAAGAAGGTTCCCACTTTTAAGCTGTGGCTCAATGAAATGACCAACACCCTTCACCTTGAAAAAATAAGGTCCAGAGAGACCTTAGAAACAACCAATGATGTACACTCCCCATGTAGTTTACTGGCCAATACAGTTTTCATGTTTTTACTTTAAGAGTATATTTTGTTCAGTTAAGTTATGTTAATACTATCTGTTATTAGCTGTGTTTTCCTTTTTCCTTTTTTCATGTCCTACATTTTGATAATCCTTCCTCAATAAAACATACTTGACCAAAAAAAAATATCTAATGCGTTTTCCACCCAAAGCCATTAGTCTGCACTCTTTATCAGCTGTCAGCACGTCCCACGCTGAAACATTGAACGTGTACAGAACAGAGCTTGACAAACATTTCCACTACTCAGCTACTGCACAGTCATAAACAGAGTAGCAGTGTGAGCTGTCTGACCATAAAACAGATGTTTCTTGCTCACCTGTTTTTCTACAAAACTATCTACCACCTTATTAGAATCCAGGGTCAGTGCCTTAATGTTAGAGCTACTAGATGCTGATAGCTATTATCCACTCAGAGCTGGCATGGGGGTTTTCTTCTTGGGATAGTGAGCAATTCCCGCCTGTTACCTTTGTCATTTGTGCAGTATCTGGCGCAAAACAACTTACTCTCATTCAGGTTTGTTTTACGAACACATCTCACAATATTGTTGCAACTTGTCTAATCATCTTTATAGATTCAGACGTACTTACAGTCTTGATTTTGATGAGATTGAATTGACAGTAAGGTGAAACCAATCCGTGACATGTTGAAAACAACATGCGGTATTTTCCCAACATTCAGACAAAACTTTAACAACATGTGTGTTGATCTGACCCAAAATGTGCTAGACACATTTTTTAAAGCCATGATGGAAACAGGAAGCAACATGAAGAGGCCTCGGAGATGGAAACTGTTTCTCTTCATTTATTCCAGGAGACGAGTGAATCATTTAAACAGCAGCCTAATTAATTTTGAACTGTTCTGACAATACTAAAATCCTAAAATTATTCCACAGAGAAACAGTATCCGTCAGACTACTGAGAACTCCTATTTGACTGTTTTCAGGTTGAACTGTCTATAAATCCAGAGGGTTACGGTTGAATCTGTTGTGTTTTAATAAATCCCAGTTAAACCAGTTTTATCAACCACTAATGTTTGAATTAAACTTTATGTGAACTCACCCGAAAGGAAATAATCGTCTGCTGAATAGTAAAACAGCTGCAAAGACTCGAGTTGGACCAGGATGTAGTTCAACAGAATGGTTTTGGTAATAACTTTAATTTGTTCATCAAGTTTTTATGATGTGTTGAATGAAACTCTTCAAACATTGGTCCTGATTGTCAGAAACATTGCTCATCTCCTCTGCCTCTTGATGTTGTACCATGGCATGCCACATGTTGTGTTTCTACCTGGCTCAATGCAGACGGGGCAGCATTCCCCAGCGGGGACGAAGGGGAAATGGCAGTGCACTATGGGACAGGTGATCTTGTCACAAACCACCCGCCCTCCGGTACACAGACAAGTCACACAGGGCTTTGGAGACCAGACGGCCTGGTCGAACATGGTCAGACCCTGGTACACACACTGGCCCTTCTTACCTGAAACAACACAGACACATTACAGTCAGTTCAGCAGTTCATTGTGGTCACACAGTGACGCTCTGCGGAGGAATACGAAGGGATGTCAAGTCATTTGGCAGTTGTTGAATAATTATAAGTTAATTTCAAGCTCGAAATACAAATTAATTTAACGTCAGTAATAGGCAGCGGAGATCAGCAAACATAACAAAGATCATATAACTGTTTAAAGACTTTCATGTATTCCCAAACGGACACAGATAGTGGATGTGAACCTGGTTGTATTTAGTGCTGGAGCGCTGATTTTGAATGAAGTTTGACTGCTTCAGTGTTGAAGTATAAAGATGGCCAACCACTGTTTGGAGTTGTATTTAATCTGCACATTTACACAGTTAAACTGGACAAATAAACAGCTAATCATTTCTGGCTACATCTTGTTGACTTTTTCACCTCTGAAGCTTTTAACAGAGCAGTTAACTTAACGTTTCTTGTGTTGAGGGAAATGTTGTTTTACAATGTGTACAGACGCCCCTATCCTTATTCCCTCCAACAAAGCTTTGATTGACTCTATTGGGTTTCCAGCTGTCAATGAGCACAACAGCAATACAATAATACAATCCCTGGACAAATCTGATATGTGGGCAGCGATTCAGAGGTGTAGAACGAGGTAAATTCAAACCTGTGGGTCACACCTTTAGCCCAACATGCCAACCCTTGTCACCCTCCTCAGTAGCAACAACAGGCCCTGGTTTCAGTAATTGCTGTGTGTGTATAGTCAAATCTAAAGCCTGTACTTTACCATCAGAACCAGACAAAGCAGTGATTTATGGCGTTTCCACTCCTCCCTCTGCATTAACTCCACCTTTCAACATCAGACCTGGGACGAGGCTACGACTGGCAGTGAGTCAGTAGAAAAGACTGTAAACCACTATGATATAGCAGGAAGAGGCTTTTTGTGTCTATTTTAAGTCTGTCCTGCCTGTCATCTATCCTTTCTAATGGTATGCTCTTTGTTACGTCCATAGAAACACAGGTAGTTAAGAGGCTCAGGTTATTTCTCTTAAATACTGTCTCTCTCCTATCTCTGTTCTTTTTACTGTGAGCAGTGAGACTGTCACCCTGTCATCTCTGCTGGAGCACACATACTTTAGAGCTTTTCTTTTCTCTCTTTATTGTCTAGTAAATTGCAGGGTTTTGTTTTAAATAGTACAGCAACTATCAGACTCTGCTGTGGCACCATCATGCGACGGCGTTAAGTGCGTGTGTTTTTACTAGCAGTGAAACAATTAGTTGATCCATTGATTCACAAACAATGAACATTTTTTAAACATCAGTTGGCAAAAACACCAATCATTCTTTGTTTCTTGCCTCTTTAATATATATTCATCTATTTTATATCTGAATCACTTTCGGATTTGGACTGTTGTTCGGGTAAAACAAGACATTTAAAGATGTCGTCTTGCGCTCTGGAAAATGTGACCATCATTTTGGTGAAAACATTTTTTAAACTTAGCTGAGGTCTGTAAAGGTATATTTCCAGTAAATTATGATTTAGGTAGGCGGTATGTCACTTTGAAGATTATTCAGATGTGTAGATGATGGAAACAGACTATTTTTTTGCTGCTGACATGGGTTAGGAGGATCACCCTGCATATACAATCACCTGTTAGACTGAATAAGGTGGAAAGCTCTCGAATAAGGTTGTAGTAGGTTGACCTTGACATCAGATTATCTTGTCAAACTACTGTTTTCAAGATCGGTTTGTCACATTAATCCAAAATCTGTTTCTGTAATCCGACACTGAACACAGAAGCACGTTCTCATATCCCCAAACAACAGCTAAAAGGCAGCCAAATGGTTTAAATCTACATGAAAAGAAAATCCCCAACAACAGACTGTGACCAACACACCGTCCCTTCTAATTACATAATGCTGACTTTATTGTTTTAAGCTGAAGGGGCTTCCACGTGGCTTTGAGGTTCCTCTCTGGAGTCTCTGTCCTCATCTCTGCGAGGGATTTCTAAGGACTTATTTTCTGACAAGCTCATTTTCCCACAGATGGTTTTCCCTTCTGTTCACGCTGGAATGTGATGATTTGTCATTAAATTGCTGAGCTGTAACAGGCAGTTTCATTATGAGAACAACACAAAGCCTGAGCTGAGCTGATTAAAATGTCCTGTTTTTCATTCAGTTAAAGATTTTATTTAACTGTATTAAGATTTTATTGGCTAGAAAACCTCGTTATGTAATATACCACTTAAAAGTTTTAAATACAAAGACACACTCAGTGTTTCCATGTTGGTTTACACATAAACATACAAACACTGAGACAAAGTAACTCATTAAATTGCTTTTGATTTGCTGCACAGAAACAGTCATTGTGCCGGTATAAAGATTTTATTTTCTAGATTAAAACAGGCTTTTGGAGAATTATTTCTAGATATATCAGAGATTTAATGTGTACACAGAGTAAAGGCTGGAACGTGACTTTCTATTTGTACATAAACTCGCACGGATGTTGCTCTGTGACTTTCACAAAAGCTGATTTCTACCACTTCAGTTCACTTGTTACAATTCAAACTCACCTTCTAACAGGAATTTGTATCAATAAGTTTGATCAGCAGTGCACTGTGTGTTATATTAAGTAGGGGGCGATTAATTAATTAGTGTGTCGACAGAAAATGATCTTTGATAAAAAGTTTAAATCATTTAGAAAGCAAGGACTTGCATTGCAAGGACGAGTTGATTTTCTCTGTTTGAGTCAGAATTTCAGTCACATTTGGACTGAAACTTAATATTTTATAGACCGAAGGATTAGCTGATATTATTAATGAAAATAAATTGTTGTCGCTTTATTTGGGAGGTGTGCTATCCTTTACACCATTCTCCATAAAGATCTGTAGAAACATTAACTTTTAAGTAATGTGACAAACTGAAACCAACTGAATATAATGGGACTTGATCTATGGATCAGCTGTGATAATCTCCAGTTTGTCAGTTTAAGCTTCGGATGTAACAATACATTCAATTACAATACTGTGTTCACAATGATTTTCTCACGATTTTTTTTAACAGACAGATTATTAAAAAAGATTCCTTTATTTCTCAGACTAAAATCTACTAAAATCTAAATATATTTTCTCTCATATTTTCTATATCAAATTAAAGAATCTTTTTTATGTCTAAGGTATAAACTGCAAAACAATGCATATTTCTTTTTTTGTAAAAGTGAAACTGAAGTGTTTGTGCATTGATAGAGCTACTGACACGAGTGACGTAGGGCCGTCTGCTCTTTTAAAACAGAGCATCATGATTCAATTTTTATCTATATTAATAGATTAATAATAATAGTGATAATTATACACTCACTTTGTATGGCGATGTAACTGTCTTGCGATAAATCTTTACATTCCTGATGCTTTAAGCTGCTCTGGGATCATTCACAGAGAAACTGCGATGTGATGGTTTTTGCTCTTCTATAGGAGCTTTCTATGAAAATGTTTAAGAAACTGTAAGGTGGACTTTATCAGATCAGGCGATTCTAGTGACATTAAATTAAATTAAAACTTACTCTAAAAAGCCTGATTGGAGCATCTGTAGTAGTTACTGATCTCCCCAGGATGAGTTACTGGTCTCACTGACCCGGGTTAAAGT